TTTAAAAAGGAAGTAGCAATTAGACTCACACTCCCCCATTGCACTCTAAATCAAGATTATAAGACTTTCACCTCCCTCCTAGCATCTCACCTCAACCAGATTGTAACAAAAAAATGTACATCCAGATCAATTCAGTTTCATTTGCAAAAGAAAGATATTTTGTCAATATTTGTTCCTTTAAAATGCGAAGGGGAACAATGGAATCACTATGTTTCTCTTCTTTTAACTATCTGTCAAAGACGCTTGTCTCTGGTCAATGAGCTTCCCAAAGAACGTCAGTCCTGACACCCCGCTCCAGGATCAAGACAGTGGAAAGTTACTTTGCGTTACACTCTCTTCTGCAGGTTTAAACAGTCCGGAAAAAATGCCCCCTCTTCACCCCCTGAAATGATTATTAAATGCAATGACATATAGAATGAAGCCCCGCTACTAGTCCTTGCCCTCATAATATGTTTTGACTCAGTGACCTGGAATGTTTTACTGGAAGTTATTAGCAAACTACAACTGGGCCAAGGTTTTGAAGCAAACAAACAAACAAACAAACAAACAAACAGTGATATAGATATGTGATAGATGATTGATAGATAGATAGATAGATAGATAGATAGATAGATGATAGATAGATGATAGATAGATATAGATAGATAGATAGATAGATGATATAGATTCAGAGAATGCTCAAGTTTTACTAAGAGTAGACCCATTGAAATTACAGTGGTGCCTCGCAAGACGAAATTAATCCGTTCCGCAAGAGTCTTCGTCTAGCGGTTTTTTCGTCTTGCGAAGCAAGCCCATTGACGGATTAGCGCTATTAGCGCTATCAGCTGTTTAGCGGCTATTAAAGGCTTAAAGGCTTAGAGATTAGCTGCTAAAAGGCTATTAAAGACTATTAAAGGCTTAGCAGATTAGATAAAGGGGGGGAAAAGCGAAAAAAAAAACTCAAGACTCGCAAGACATTTTCGTCTTGCGAAGCAAGCCCATAGGGGAATTCGTCCTGCGAAGCAACTTCAAAACGGAAAACCCTTTCGTCTAGCGGTTTTTCCGTCTTGCGAGGCATTCGTCTTGCGGGGCACCACTGTAATGGGTTTAACTTAGGTCATTTCAGTGAATCTAGGAATGAAACTTAGTTGAACAACACTTTTAGGACACAATCCATCCCCCACCCTATGCTGGGCTATGGGGGAAGTTTAGATTGAACATTTCTGCTGGGTCATCTAGCCTCCCATTGGTTGCCAAAAGTGTGGGTGGGAGGCCTGATAGAGGCATACTTGCTGATAAAGCCTGGCAGAAAGCTCCAGAATGGGGCATTCCAAGGGTGGGGAGGCGGTAGGGCTGAATGTCCAGAGATCCACTGGATTGTGAGTTGCCCTTACAGCTGACTGGCATCAAACACAATCCAGGCCCAATCCGTGTGCCAACGAAGAGCTATTGCAGAGATTGGGTCAAATCTGCTTGCTCCACCACTGTCACTGTGGTGGCAGCATGGAGGTGGATTTCTCTTCCAAACTCTAGGCATATTAAGATCAATTATGGACAAAACAGGGGTGCCCATTCTCATCCCCGTTATTCACCCTGCTATGTCACCTCAATGTCAGTGGGATAATCCAAAAATAAAATGAGTTAATATAAGCAAAAGCAATCACCTGCTCAATTTATATGCAGATGATATGCTACTTAATGATCCCTGAGCCAATACAAGCAGCCAAGGCAATAAAACAAGAGCTGGCAGATTTCAGCTTAGTTTCTGGTTTATATGTGAATTATGGAAAATCAGACCTTATATACTGCCATATTCCACTGGGAGTACACACACACACACACACACACACACACACACACACCATCTGTGATTTGTGAGGGTTCCTCTGTGTTATAGAAAGTTTAGATAGCTAGGGGTCCAGATAGCACATACACTAATTAAAATTAGATAACTATAACCCAGTCTAGAAAGCAGTCTATATATGATCCCTCTCCCCATCACTGCCAAAACAGGAATTAAAAAATGGATACATGGATACACCATGAATTGCAGCTGGCAAAGCCAACCAAGGTTCAGTGCAGATGCAACACATCCTCTTATCTGAGCCTTGAGAGATCAAGAGTGCTGTGCAAGGTCACACACTCCTTCACATGCCAACTTTTTCTGGTAAATTCCTTCTCCCTTACATTCTCAGGGTGAACCAAGGTGTGGTGTTATATCTGCATTGTCCTTGACTTCCCGCCATATTTTAGAGCTACTCCCAAGTTTAGCATGACCTCAGAGGTGACTATGTGCTTCTCCCAAGTCAGGAACAAAAGAGAGTCTTGATGACTGCAAATTGAAGACTAGGGAAAAATTGAACTCCCAATGATGGCGAGTGAAAATTAAGACTTATATAACAGTGGAGAACAATGAACACACTCATTTTCTATTTGCTCCTGGCATCTTGTCACAAGACGAGAGGCTTTGTTGCAGACTTGTTTATGTCTTTTGAAGAAAGAAAAAAACCATAATCGGAGTGTCAGAAGAGCTTGGACATTAGTTGTAGGGTTTTCTTTGGAGATAAACACTTCACTTATCTCAGAGTACAAGAAAATGCTCCCTGACCTGTGAGCATTTATGAGTGGGCTATTGGTTACTTGTGAATGGGCTGGTAATCCAGAGAACCATTCCAGGGAGACTAAAGAGGCTAGGAAGAGCTAGACTCTAGAGGACTTGGAGATAAATAGACTTTTGTTGAGATGGCATAATTTAAGAGCAAGCTTCCCCCACCCTGTGTGTGTGTGTCCTGAGGAATATAATGCAACAGAAATGAAGGAATGGAAAAATAGGACATCTAGTATGGTGCCTATCATTAGCATATCAGCAGCAGCAGTGTCACGGTAGCATCATTTTCCAATGTGATATATTGAGTGATATAAATAAAGATAGGATTCTGACTAGACACATCCAGTTTGGTGTAATCAGACCAGGACCAGAAAGACTCGGGTTCATTTTTTTTTTTTTTAAATGATATTTATTAAAGTTTCACAAAAATACAGAAAACAAAGAAAAAAGTATAAATTACAGCAAAAAAGTAAAAAGTAAGAAAAACATACAAAATAAAACAATTAAAAACACAATGATGTTCCATAACCTATCTTCCTTACTCTTATTTCCCCAGACCTCCTCATACCTCCCTTCTTTGTATTCCAATTCAGTTTGTTGGTTCAGCAAATCCTTACCATTAATCTTTTACCCAATTGTTAACCTTTTTTTTTTTAATGTCTCTTACAGCTAAAAACCTCTTAATTTCTATCCAACATCCTTCTAAAGTTCCTTAATTTTACAATATTTCTGTAAATAGTCCTTAAATTTTTCCAATCTTCTTTCACCGACTCTTCTCCCTGGTCTCGGATTCTGCCAGTCATTTCCGCCAATTCCATGTAGTCAATCACCTTCATCTGCCATTCTTCCAAAGTGGGTAGATCTTGTGTCTTCCAATACTTTGTGATAAGTATTCTTGCTGCTGTTGTAGCATACATGAAAAAGGTTCTGTCCTTCTTTGGCACCAGTTGGCCGACAATGCCCAAGAGAAAGGCCTCTGGTTTCTTCAGAAAGGTATATTTAAATACCTTTTTCAGTTCATTGTATATCATTTCCCAGAAAGCCTTAATCTTTGGGCACGTCCACCAAAGGTGAAAGAATGTACCTTCAGTTTCTTTACATTTCCAACATTTATTATCGGGCAAATGATAAATTTTTGCAAGCTTGACTGGGGTCATGTACCACCTGTATATCATTTTCATAATATTCTCTCTTAAGGCATTACATGCCGTAAACTTCATACCTGTGGTCCATAACTGTTCCCAGTCCGCAAACATAATGTTATGTCCAACATCTTGTGCCCATTTAATCATAGCAGATTTCACCGTTTCATCCTGAGTATTCCATTTCAACAGCAAGTTATACATTCTTGACAAATTTTTAGTTTTGGGTTCTAACAATTCTGTTTCTAATTTTGACTTTTCCACTTGGAAGCCTATTTTCTTATCCAAGTTATATGCCTCCATTATCTGATAGTAGTGGAGCCAATCTCTCACTTTATTTTTTAATTTTTCAAAACTCTGCAGTCTCAATTTATCTCCTTCTTGCTCTAAAATTTCCTCAATATGTCGGCCATTTGGCCTCCATATTGAGCCTTTTCAGAGCTTTTGCTTCCATTGATGACAGCCACCTTGGGGTTTTATTTTCCAATAAGTCTTTGTATCTTATCCAGACATTAAACAATGCTTTCCTAACAATATGATTTTTGAATGCTTTGTGTGCTTTGACCTTATCATACCATAAACAGAAAGACTCGGGTTCAAATCCCCTCTAAGACGCAAAGGTTGCTGGACCACTTTTGGCCAGTCATAACCTCTCCAGGCTAGGGATGGGGAGAAACTTAATTCAGTTCACATTTAAAGGTGAACCTACCTAATTTGCCCAGGCTGTCAGAAGGACCATATTTTCTCTGATGAACCTGGCTCTGATATCTTTTTAATTTTTTTTTTTGGGGGGGGGGGCTCTTCTCTTAATCCTGCCACTCTCACAGACACATTTGGTGGGAGCTTTGGTAAGAGAGCCTTTGTGGTGGCTGCTCCCAGGCTTTGGAACATGATTCTGAGACAAGCTAGGCTGTGTCTCTCCTTGTTGCCCTCCCACATGCAGGCTGTGTTCCGGCAAACTTTGGGGAACTGACTGCTTTTAAGGAAATGACTCTTCATGTTGTGCTGTATCATTTGCTTGGTTTATCTACTATTTGTATTTTAATATATATGCTTTAATTCTATAGTTTAATTACTTTTTTAACCATAACCCTTTATCTGTTCTTAGCTACATGAGTTTTACCTATATTTGCTTGAATCTTTGTGAGCCATCTTGAGTCCCAGCCCTGAAGAAAAGGTGGGAATAAATAAAGTACATAATAATAACCACCTAAAATGTGGTACCACTCTAAAATATATAAGTAACAGATACATGCTTTGTACCACAGAGAGAAGTGACAACAATCATTTCATTTCATCTCACCTCAACCTTCTTCTTCAAAGGCCAGTGCAAACAGGTGCAACTTCACCTGCTGCTACTTCCTATGATGATCCATGATCACCTTCGAAATCTCCTTGTTCTACCAGTAAGCCATTCTGAGACGCATGTGGCGAAGCAACCTTATTTGTTTCATCTTCTGCTATGTGAGCCTTTCTTCCTTGTCAGATCCATCCTTCCAGGCCACTCAAGAACTCTGGACCATTTCAGAATGCAAATGGAGTGTCCTGCACCCCAAAGTTCCCCTTGAAAATGAAAATAAAAAATGGCAGCTTCAGACTAGAGCAAACATATGATTTCCCCCACACCTACATTCTCAGGTTGCTGAGTCCCATGAGGCCTATATTGCTTGATTCCCCCTCTCTTGAATGTGCTGGTTGGCCTTGAATCCTTAGAGAAAGAATGTTCAACTGTGCGTGAAATACCATAGTGAACAATCCTATATAACCAGGGGGATGGGATTGTGCTGCCGTGTATTTAGAGGGCTTTCTCTGGCTATAATGTCTATGATTCACAGCTGGAGTGTATTTTTAAAAGGCTGTGCAAGCATTTCCAAAAAGAACACCACATTATTTCCAGGAAGAGATAAATTGAAAGGGGAAGAGTCCCGCTGAAACCTATCATATTTGGTTTCTTCACTGAATCCATGGTTTTGCTTTTTGAAAAAATTGGACTTCAGGGGCAGAAAAAGCCACTTTGATGAGTCTAAGTGACATATTTAAGAAGGGGGAAAGCCTATATTTTCAAGGAAAGTGCAGCCTGATTTTGCCATTCCACAGAATTAGGTTTACTTTATTTTCTGCTCCACTTTTACAGGCCATTTGGTGCTTAATGTGAAAAGCCATCTTTGTTATTGTAAGGAAAGAAAACACGACAACACAATTATTCCTTTGGTTCCCTGTGTATGTACAAGTGTCATAAGATTTCTTTAGTTGCAAAAGAGCAGCCTAGGCAGAGATATTCATTAATGCTTGGGCAATAATATACCGGTATTTTAAATGTGACAGTGAGACAAATTTTAGGTCCCTTTGGAAGCTTGCAAAGAAGCTGTGGTAGCACACAGAGATGACAAAATTTTGCAGTTTTAATTTTATTAAAAGCATAATATTTCAAAAGATTTTTAAAATAAAAAATGTGCTACCTAAACTTCTTTGGCAGTAACAAGTATAGGAAAGTCCACATTATTATTATTTTCCTGACCAAAGGTTTTTTGTGTTGCTGTTCCAACAGCTTAAACCTTATGCAAGGGGTGGACAACCTTTCCGTATCAAAGGTCACATTCTCTTTGGGGTAATTTGTCAGCAGCTTCATGCCAGTGGTGGGTGGTGCAAGAGACAAAACTGTTCGGGATTAATTAATCTGTAATAAAGACTAATTCAGTATCATTATTTTTAACATATAAAATGCTGCCCCTTCCATTTGTTCTGAAACTACAGAGAGTGGATACTATTTGCCTGAGATGTCCAGAGAATGGATGCAGCTAGGCAATTAATGTGGAAAATAGGCATGTAATATCATTAATCTTTGGTAAATCCCTTTGTGAGAGGGGCATTTACTGTGGATTCCCACCCCACCCACCTCATTTTCTTGAAGCCCCACCTGAATATCGGGTAGCCCCATCTCATAAGGAATACCTTATGTGGGGAATATTTCTCGTGTGAAAGAACCTCACAATTGCATGGAGTTAATTTCTACACCACAACCAACACCCAAGAGTTGCACGCAGGTGGTTGAAATAAATACAGTTTTTATCAAACAGATCGGGGAAATACAGCTGTCTCAGTTTTATGCTCGAGTCACTCCAAGGTGATGCCTCATGCCCACCCCAGACTCACTAGGTTTTCCTTTCATCCACCTTGGATAATAAGTGACATTCTGCACTGTACTGTAACCACCAGGAGCTTCACCTGCTGCCTCTCTGGTTTGTACAGTCTTTTGTTGTTAAAGGACGTGGCAGATCTGCGGCAGCATCCAGGGGAAGCGATAACTGGCTTAACAGATGGTGGAGAAAAATTAATTGATCCACTGGGGCAGATAATGAGCCAACCACAGAGTGAGAAGCGTACTAGGAATTGGAAATGTGAATATCAACTCAACTTTACTAGGGGGCTGGCGTTGTTGCCCGGTCATTGGCTTCATGTGCTTTCCATATATAATGTTACCCAAAAATGCCTACGGCTGCAATCCTATGCACACTTAACTGGTGAGGAAATCCCACTGCAGACAATGCGGTTTACTTCTGAGTAGACATGTACAGGATTACACTGCGACTGACTTAGGATTCTGAAGATGCAAAGTCACCTATGTGATCGGAACACTTTTGCCTTGAGCATCTGCTGACATTGCCAAGAAGCTCCACAGACCACTTGGCAGAGGTTCAAGGGGTTCTGCAGAAGGGACAGTTCAAAATACACCAGCTATGGCAAAAGCCATGATGTTGGTCTGTGCAGAATAAGAGGCAGCAGGTGGAGAAACAGGCGGGCTGCAGACTGGTCCAGGAAGATGGTGAGTCATCATGGTGATGACAGATGATCTCCAGGCCATAATAATGATCAACCTGGGGAAGGGCCATAGCATCTGCTTTGCATCAGCATCTACAGGTAGGGCTGGAAATGCCCCCTGTCTAAAACCATGGAGAGTCACTCCCAGTCAACGTGGGCAATTCTGAGATAGGTGGGTCAATGGTTGAGCTCAATATAAGGCATTTTCCTAAGCTCAAAACTTGGAAATTCCAGGGAAACATGCAAATGTTCTTAGCCAGCTCAGGAAGAACCAATTGTCTGTTTAGCAGACCATTTTATAATCTGAAAATCATGGCAGGGCCCCTTTCCCCTTCCACTTGAGAACTTAATGTGTCTCAACTGATTAAAGATAAAAAGAAATAAGGTTAGTCTGGCATTACTTGTTGTTAAGAAACCAGTGCTTGTTACTTGTGATCACAGAGTATTTTTCTAAATGTGTATATGGACTTAAGCATGTTGGCTATATGACACTGGTAATCCCACAAAATGGACTTTTGGTAATAAGGAGAGTGATGGGAAAGATGCACTGGAAAGTGTGGGATCACTCTTGCTTGATGCAACATCATCTAACCTCCTGACAGGCAAGTCAGAATAAATACTACACAGCTGGTATCATGTAAACAGGCAAACTTTGTGCAAACAAATCAGGCTTAATAATATATAGGTGCTCTGGAAATGACTTGCTCAACAAAGCACAGCGTTAGCACTCCATCAACTCAGACCAACTTGTGTTATATTTAAGGTGAAAAAGCAGATTTCAGAAAGTCCCCTGGAGGAAGAAAAACTGTGTTTGTAGAGAACGGGTGGGGAAACACAGGCCCATCTATCTGGCCCTTGGAGTTTTCCCCAGGCTACACCTCTCAGCCATTACCCAGGTTGCAGACCTATTTTGCATTCTGAGCGCTTTTGGCTGGCTGAAATGTATCCTTGAACTCCAATAATGCTTGCCTAGATGGGGGAGAGAGAGGTATGGATGGGTGGCTGTGGCCTAGCTTAGCCTCGCCACTCACATACGGTCCTCAGAAGATTGTCCACAAGGGAATGTGGCCTTTGTGCTGAAAAAAGACTCCTCACCGCTGGTTACAAGGAAGGAAACGGAGGGAGCAGGTGGACAGAGTTGTGTACACAGAAAGAAAAGTATTGTGAATTATTGTACTATTTTTCCAATACAGAGTTCCAAACAGAAGCTTCTTTCTCTTGACATACAAGATAGGTCCTGATTTATTCCACCAGTCAGTCCCTAGTCTAGGCCTCTCCCCTCTGTGAGACAGTTCAAGATTTTCTTCCACAAATAAAGAGCTTCAGCTTTGTTATTTCAGATTCTTGGAACTGAGATGTTGATTGCTGTAATTATGCTGCCAGGCAGGAGAGTGGCTGTATTATCAAGACAGCTAAAAATACTGGTAGGAGGATATACTCGGTGCACCCCCCCCCCAAAAAAAAAGGTGCAATGCTGTATTCAGAACCAGGTGTTGGTGAGGTTATTTATTTAATTTGTGTGTGTACACATAGGGACTCCTTTTACTTTAGTAACCCTTCTGTCAAAACTGGGAATATTATAATGCTTTAAGGATGATTCCCAAACTTTTGCCTATATTGCTGTCCAAGGGAAACATACTAGTGCTAAACTATACTTAATACACACTTAAGGGGTGCTTCTTAGATAGTATAATCTCAACAAGCTTTCTCCTCTGATTGTGTATTTCAGAATTGCATAGAATGGAGGTATCAGGAATGTTCCATAGTTCCCTTTGGGGGGGGGGTGCCTGAATTTTGTAATGCAATACTGTCATACCTTGGTTCTCAAACGCCAAAATCCCAGAAGTAAGTGTTCCAGTTTTCAAACGTTTTTCAGAAGCCGAACATCCAATGCAGTTGTTGGCTATTGTTTTCAAGACGCCTGCACAAATCAGAAGCTGCACCTTGGTTTTCAAACATTTCGGAAGTCAAACGAACTTCTGGAACAGAATAAGTCTGGCGCTTTTGTTTTTGCTATTTATTTTGCGTTTTTGTTTTTGAGGCTTTTCTGGTTAATTTGTTTTTGTGACTGTGTGGAACCCAGTTCAGCTACTGATTGATTGACTGATTGACTGACTGACTGATTGATTGATTGTGTTACTGTGAAAATGGATAAAAGCCCCCCATCCAAATCATGACTATCATCCGTGCAGGTAATAAAAAATAATAATTTTAATTTTTATCATCTACAATACTGTCTTTCTTATTTTATAGTACAGTACATTATTATTGCTTTCATTTTATGGATCAATGGTCTCGTTAAATAGTAAAATTCATGTTAAATTGCTGTTTTAGGGGTTGTTTTTAAAAGTCTGGAATGGATTAATCCGTTTTGCATTACTTTCTATGGGAAAGCATGCCTTGGTTTTAGAATGCTTTGGTTTTGGAACGGACTTCCAGAATGGATTAAGTTTGAGAACCAAGGTACAACTGTATTATGTAAATGCAGTTTTCTTAAAGTTTCTTGTACCTCCAGATCTATCATTAATGGTTGATAACATTGTTTGTAAGATTATATCAATATTATTTTTCTATTGTGTTTTACTTATGTACATGTGTACTTATGTTGATTAATACACTGCAGAAGTTGACATGATTTTCAAAAAGTAAAAACCAGGACAGCCCAAAAGTTAAGTTCTTGAGCTTTCTAAAGGAGAACCTCGAAGCTGTTGTTTTTTTTACAAAAATAATGACTTGCCAAGATCCAGAACAAATGGGAGCCCAAAGAGATTCTTTCTGTGCAGTGCTTTACCAGCACCCAGGTAGAGATGGGCAAATCTGTCAATCTTGGTTTCTCTCTGTTTCTTATTTGTTCCAGTCTAGACCTCTGTGCTCCATATTTCCACATCAGTTTGCATTAAATAAAATAAAAAAACCCTCACAAAATTTCACCGACATTTTAGTCTGCCTCCTTCCAGACAAGCAAGAGGCATTATCACAGTTTTTACACTTTAGACACATGCCAACCAGACAAAAGCATTCAAGGAGGGTGTTATCTTGGAAGATGTTATCTGGGAAGAGTGCCAAGGGTTTTTCCCCACATTTAGCCTCTGGGCCTGAGGTTCTCCTCTCCTGCCTTAAAGGTTTAGAAATGTGCAACATTCTCCCTTGCATGCACATTCAGCTGCCCACATTATCAGCTTTGTCAGAACTACTTGAAAATGATCTGCATTCATCTACCAATTTATTCATCTGTCTCTCCCAATAACCTCTGATTGAAGTCACGTACTTGAAAAGGGCATTTAGCATCGTTCTTTGGGAGCAGCAAAAGAACATTTAGTACAGTGTTGTCTTCTCTTGTTCCAAAGATTCCAAATCCTTACCATTGTGCTTGGCAGATTTTGCTGTGAGAAAATCCTTTTCTTCTATGTCATAAATCTTCCATGCAGGCTTTTAATTAGTCTTGGATGTTTGGGAGCTGAATTAAAGGCAACGGGATGTCCCCTTGCAGCTAAAGTTATGTTCACTGGGATGCACTTACAATAATTGTGGTGTCATTATGCAAGCATTATGTCTCAATATATGCAAGGGGGGTAGAATGCAGGGCATTCCATTTCACTCAAAGTTTTAATTTAGCTGGATAACACAAGTAAAGCATGGGCATTGGGGAATGGCGTTACATAAACTATTTGGTCCATTTCATGCAAGAAGGTTGAAGTGTTTATAAATCAGAAATCTATGTGATTTTCTCTTTTCAGCCTAGCATTATTAAAATGAAACATTTTCTGGATGACAATGATATAGTTCAGTTGTTTTACAACCTTCAGGTATTTGCATACCATGTAAAGAAAGCATGGAAGTAGAGATGGATGGATCTGTCAATTTTAGTTCTCTCATTTTCTCATTTTCCAATCTTAAAATCAGTTCTCCACATTTACCTTCATGAAAAATCCATCAGCATATTAGAGCACATTTCTATTAAAAAAACCCCATGGGGTTTTTTTATATACAGTTTTGACCAATGTGTATGTTTTCCCATAATAGAATGCATTTTTGTATCTCATTTTCACACTTATTTTCAGTTTTTTTTCCTCCTTTTGCCCAATATATGCATTTTTGTAAACACTGGCTAGAGAATTGCATTGCAAAATTTAGATAAGTGAACGTTTTGGAGGGTGGCTGTGTTTTGGTTCATATGTTGGTTCAAGAATTGTGAATCAGGTAGCTTCAAATTAAAATGCAAGCAAAATCGATTTTATCCCTCAGCCTTCCACATGAGGAAGACACAGATATGAGTGCAATATCTATACCCACAATTGTTGTTCCAGATGCCTTCCATGAATTAGAGGCTGGATGTACAAAGTCCAGAGCCTACTGTACTCATGGAGGCTCCCTACAGCCTGAGGGTTATAGTCAACTAACTTTTACTCAGAGTAAACCCAATGAAATGAATGACCATTCCTACACTTATTTCATTAATTTTGATGGGTCTGCTCTTAAGAAAAGTTGATTGAATACAACCTTCCAGGATGATGCAAATGAGTTAATTTTCTGTCCTGACATTGAGGTGGTCTCATCCATGGAGAAAGGGCAGAAGCCTTTTGAGCAAGTTAAGGATCCCTGCAGGGTTCACTTAGGTAAAGTTAATGGGTGCAGATTCTTTGTTGTGACCTTAACACCAGCTATTTCACATTTCCATTCTGGGATTTGTGGATGCGTGCATGCTGAACATCAGCCTGTACAAAATTTTGAAGAAGCAAAAAACAAACAAACCCCCAAATCAAGAAGACAACTTCTTAGGAGAGAGTTAAATCTCTTCCACTGAAATCATATTTGAAAGAGCTTGGCTTGTGACTGGATCACACGTAGGTTATTTTCTTCTTCTCTTTCCCCACATATCTTACATAATAATCAGCAGTTACTATTTCCAAATATATTGCTTTGCCATCTTCATTCTATGTAATGGGCTGCAATTTATAACACATATTCATTTTACGGGATGATTAACCTCTTGCTTTGTGGGTGTCTAAATATGGTAGTTTAGAAAATGAAATAACCAATCTGAAATGTTACTGATGTTCAACAGGCATCTCCAAAGGCCATGTGATTGTTGAAAAGCTTATATTCAGACTGGGTCTGAGTATAGCAAATAATTCTTTCCACAGAACTCTGCTGTAGTGACATTTAATAGCACATAGAATTATGTATGTGTATATATAACACTTTTTTTTAATTTATCCTGTGCATTGGTCCCAATATATGGAAGTATGCTTTTGGAGCAACTGTTTCAAATGTAAAGGGATGGTGGCCAATGTGTTTCCTCAAGGGCACACAGTACCGTCACCCCTTTTTGTTGTTGTTAAAAAATATGGCACTTACTGTAACAACTACCTGATGAGTACCAACACCTATTTTTCTGGAGATGCTGGAGATGTAAGGAGGTTGACCAAGAGAGGGCAAATCTCTGTTAGTTATTAATATGCAACTGGAAGTTATGTGGTGTGTTTGTGTGTGTGTAGCTTCTCCACTGCAAGGAACATAATGGATGCAAATATGAAATAGTAAAATCAATACAGGAAGGATTTATGTTTGTGGCCAAGGGGTGGGATGTAATCTTGTGCCCTACACAAAGAGGGAGCAGCTCTCACAGAATCCCATTATAATTGTCCCCATCAGTCCACCACTCAGGCCAGGCATCAGCACATGCCAATTTCAGTCAGCAGGGTTCACCATAGTGACCCTAGTCAAGGCCAGAACACAATTTTAATTTCTCAAAATGGCCTAAAGTGACGCTACAGTTTGGGAAATTTAGACAGTGATCCAAGACCCGACCCGTCCGCCTGACCTAGTAGATGTTGAGCCAGTTCATCACAGGATGTGGCTAAATAATTCCATCCCTTTTCAGTGCAGGTTTTCAATGACAAAACTGTATAAATTCTGAAAAATCTGCACATATTCTTCAAAAACTGTAAAATTGGAAACAGGAAAGGGTGTAGCTAGTGGCAAAAATCTGTTTTGCATACATAAAGTCTCAGATTCAATTTCCAGCATCTCAACCCTGGCGATCAATGGGGTGACAGATGTCGCAGCCAGATCGCCCTCACATCCTAATTTCCAGCATCTCTGGGCGGAGCTGAAACCTTGAAGAGCCACACCAGTCAGCGTATATCAGGCACAGACAAACTTGGCCCTCCAGATGTTTTGGGGCTACAACTCCCATCACCCCTAGCTAACAGGACCAGTGGTCAGGGATGATGGGAGTTGTGGTCCAAAAACATCTGGAGGGCCGAGTTTGCCTATGCCTGGCGTAGATCATGGCTGGGGATCCTTCTAGATATTGTCACAATACAGCTCCCACCATCCCTGACCCTGCTGCTGGTTGAGACTGATGGGAGTTAGAATCCTACAACATCTGGAGGTTCTTTAACCTTGAATCCTCAGATGTTGGTGGACCACAGTGTCCATCATCCCCCGCCAGCTTAGCCAATGGCCAGTGATGGTGGGCGATGTAGTCCAACAAGGGGACCCAAGGTTGAAGAACACTGCTGCAGACAATACTGAGCAAGATGGACCTGGACTAAGTAGAAGACATCTTCAGATATTCCCAAAGACTTAAAAGACAGTGTTACATGCTCACCTAGTAAAGCTGACTGCCTTTAATTAAGAATCGGCTGTGTTGAGTCAAATCAACTTCAAAAACTATGTGGTTAGTCTAATTGACTTCAATAATCTCTAGTTATTAATATATAGTGAGAGAAGAGATGAGGGAACTACTCAATTCTTGCTTTTACCCACTGCTGTGCGATGACAGCTACTTGAGGGTCTCTCTTGCATGAGAAAATATTTTATAAAGCTGTACTTAAAAAAAACTGTAGCTCTATGAAATCACACATTTGCTGAGACAAATAGGTTACCAGTTGCACTTTCAGTCTCTTTGAATGCATTTGGCAGTTTTTGAATAAGATTTGACTCAAGTAGGTCAATTCCTAATTAAAGACAAACAGAGACTAAGGATTTATTTTTTAAAAAATCAGCTGGAGTTATCCCCCACAGGCACCACAAACTCTCAAGAAATAGTCAAGTTGGTAAGAGGAGCTTTTGCAAGATAAATAATGCTATATTGTCAAACTAAAACAGTTCGTGAAAGCAGTGTGTTCTAAGCTGTGTATAGAATGAACTGATTCAGTTTTACTAATTCACTGAATTAACTCAAAAGTTTCTGAATGATATCAGAAAGATGCAATGCATATCCATATTTTGAAATTGTACAAGTTAGAAATAAAGTACAAGGGGTATTACATACTGTAAACTCTCTCTCTCTCTCTCTCTCTCTCTCTCTCTCCCTCCCTCTCCCTCTCCCTCTCCCTCTCCCTCTCCCTCAACCACATGGGGCAACTGGTCATTTAGGGGAGAAGTAGAGATCAGGCTATTTAAGCCCACTCCACACAGCACTCTCCGGTTTTAGAATCATAGAGTTGGAAGAGACCACAAGGGCCATCGAGTCCAACCCCCTGCCAAGCAGGAAACACCATCAGAGCACTCCTGACATATGGTTGTCAAGCCTCTGCTTAAAGACCTCCAAAGAAGGAGACTCCACCACACTCCTTGGCAGCAAATTCCACTGTCAAACAGCTCTTACTGTCAGGAAGTTCTTCCTAATGTTTAGGTGGAATCTTCCTTCTTGTAGTTTGGATCCATTACTCTGTGTCCGCTTCTCTGGAGCAGCAGAAAACAACCTTTCTCCCTCCTCTATGTGACATCCTTTTATATATTTGAACATGGCTATCATATCACCCCTTAGCCTCCTCTTCTCCAGGCTAAACATGCCCAGCTCCCTTAGCCGTTCCTCATAAGGCATCGTTTCCAGGCCTTTGACCATTTTGGTTGCCCTCCTCTGGACACGTTCCAGTTTGTCAGTGTCCTTCTTGAACTGTGGTGCCCAGAACTGGACACAGTACTCCAGGTTTTCACATTCAGACTCTGACCCTCCCACCCCTTTTCCACTGCAGGCTTCTAGTTGCTTTCTCTGAGGGGACTGAGCAGGAATTTTTTGGGGTGACACTAATTGGCCTGCATCACATATTTTGAAGTAAGGGTAGTGAAAACACAGCTAAAAAGCTCAAATCATATTTATTTGGAAATTAAACCAATGTCCAGACTTTAATATTCAAAAACTTTATTTGCAGAAATGTAATTTTAGCTCTATTTTCTCTGTAGTTCTTAATAGTTTTGTCTACCTCTGTTCCCAGGACTGATTTTTTGCCTGACCCTTTCCTGATGAGCCTATTGCACATTAACGAACCATTTTAGTCCTCCATTTAAAAATAAAGATTAAAATTGTTGAGTAAGTTACTCATAAAATAGGGTCGAGGGATTCTGGCACAAAGTGAAATTTCCATTTTAAATACACTTTAATTTTTAAAAAATAAAATAGCATAACTTTCTTATTCTTCCAGAGGTTGCTTGATTAAATTAGACTGTGTGGTTTCAAGCTGAACTGTATTATGAGGCCTTAAAGATGAGACCTGGAAACTGCAGTTGGATTAAAAAGAATAATAAGAAAGCAAAGCAAGTGTGTGTGTGTATAAGTAAGCCTGGACTTGCTACCATCTATCCCCATAACACATTGAGAGCTGTCAATCTTCCCAGCAGGAGGGGCCAAGTTATCAAATGGCAATCTGACTCTTGGAGATTGCATTCAGGCAACCTTACAGGGGGTGTTATTTCTTAACGAAATACCCCAGTGTCCCAACAATTTGTAGGTAGACTGCTTTGCTTTCTCCGATGTAGCCTTTTACTTCCAAAAGCTGATTTTAAAAATCAGTCGCTCGGCTTTTCTATTGAATGTGCAGATGAAACCCAGCAGGAGGGAAAGGAGGGTGGTTCATAATAGACTTTCAATTTTAATTTAAATAATTTGGATTGAAAAGGTGATTTTAAGGTTTTATGATGTGTTGATAAGATTATATTAGACCCTCTGGTTGCCATCAACTGTACCCACTGTGTTGATTTTCTCATTGTGCTTGCCATTTGTGGCTGGCATGTGCTGATTTTGGATCTAATACGGGGTGTTAACTGATAAAGATAGGATTTGTCAATTATGGCTTGCCTTCCTTAAGAACTGGACCTCAAAAGTCACCTGGAGTACTGTGTCCAGTTCTGGGCACCACAGTTCAAGAAGGACACTGACAAACTGGAACGTGTCCAGAGGAGGGCAACCAAAATGGTCAAAGGCCTGGAAACGATGCCTTATGAGGAACGGCTAAGGGAGCTGGGCATGTTTAGCCTGGAGAAGAGGAGGTTAAGGGGTGATATGATAGCCATGTTCAAATATATAAAAGGATGTCACATAGAGGAGGGAGAAAGGTTGTTTTCTGCTGCTCCAGAGAAGCGGACACGGAGCAATGGATCCAAACTACAAGAAAGAAGATTCCACCTAAACATTAGGAAGAACTTCCTGACAGTAAGAGCTGTTCGACAGTGGAATTTGCTGCCAAGGAGTGTGGTGGAGTCTCCTTCTTTGGAGGTCTTTAAGCAGAGGCTTGACAACCATATGTCAGGAGTGCTCTGATGGTGTTGTGTTTCCTGCTTGGCAGGGGGTTGGACTCGATGGCCCTTGTGGTCTCTTCCAACTCTATGATTCTATGATTCTATGATTCTCTGATTCTATGTTTAGGTAGACTGAACGGTTTTCTTTTTTTCTTTCTTTTTAAAAAAAGCAATATTGCAAGGGATTATACAGAACTGGATGCTCTATTATCAGGCACGGATGGATAGATCAACATATCATAGGCACCAATTTCCCAGGCTCCTGGGTGCCCAGGATCCCCCTTTTTTTTGCTGTGGGTGCCCTTTGGGTAGCCAGCCTTCCCCCTCCTCTGTACACGTCAGCTGTCGCCTACCACCGCCTCCGCAAAAGCAGCTGCCACAACCCCTTACCACAGCCCTTGCCTGGTCCCTCTGCTGCCATCCTGCCCACCCCGGCTCTCTCCTCGTCCCCTCCCCAGTCCTACTCCCTTTGCCCTTCCTGCAGACCCAAGTCCCACTTCAAAAGATGTTTCAATAATGTCCGCAGCTGCCTCCGTGTGCCATAGCCACAGCTGACTGCTGCCTTACCTCTGGTACCATGGCGGTGACTGAATCAAGGTCTGTGCCTCTGCCGCGAGGTCCCACAGGTCCAGTCACTACTACAGTGCCTCGGTGTGTGCACCGCACCATCACAACATGATGTCATGACATCACGTTGCATCATCACATCACAATGCAGCTCAGTGCGCACATGATGGGCACCCACAATGTAGGGCCCAAGTCAACGCCCCTGACATATTTCCATTCTATGTCAGTTTCCTTTGGTCAGGGCACAGCCTGACTCCCTCCTTTGGCAATCTTCACAGAATCTCTAACCCAATGGTTGCCATCAATTTGATTTGAATTAATTTTATAATGAATGATTTTAGAATTTTGTACTATTTTATTGTTGTTAGCCGCCCTGAGCCCGGCTTTGGCTGGGGAGGACGGGATATAAATAAAATTTATGATGATGATGATGATGATGTATGGGTTCAGTCGTAAGTCTTATATTCGAAATAGCAAAAAGCAACTCATTTGGTTAGTGCAATTATTCATATTTACACAATGGAACTTGCCCCTCTTGCTTCCATATCTGTTCTGGGGTTTCTGGAGCGGATTTGCAGATGCAATTGTCTGATACAGTTTCAGCAATTTTTCAGAAAACTGAAACTATATCTGACAATTTGGAGAAGTGCGTGGATTGATGGACAACTGTGTTCTGATCCACATATAAGTTCAGGAGAGGCATATTAGGTCATTTCACATTAAAATGTGGACCAAATAAATCCCGCCCCCCATTCCCATTATCACATAACCACATGATATAGAACAACAGCTTTCAAACTGATGTTTCGGATATCAAAGGTCAGGCCACTGGCACCAGTTGGACTTGATTGTCACCAGGCAATCATCATTGAACCGTATTTGTGTCACACAGAGCTATCACAGTGCAAATGGTGACACGAATCACAATTTGGTGTAGCAGCAAAACAGAATTCCTTCGTCTGTCTCAACTGCAATAAAACATGTCTCTCTCATATCGGTTTGTACAGCCACAGCAAGCACGATAACTATCCAACGGTTTGAATTTGCCCCCAATGGTACAATCTTCCAATTTCTCTTGAGACAGACGGATGTGAACAATACATGATATCACAATGCTGTGGAACACTAAGAGCTAAGCTAGATTTAAGTGAAATAATGTACATCTGTGTGTATTAGCAAGTGGGTGTCCTATTTTTCCCCATGCAGTTTTTAGCCCTCGGGACAGCGGGCAGCCCCCATTGGTACCAATAGAAGCTTTTGCTTCTAGAACTAATGCAGTAGGAACAATTTCAACTGGAATCGCAGTGAGGAATAAATCAGAATCCTGATTTGTCTCACATTTAAAGAGACCACGATCTTGCTGGACTTCCTAATGCATTTTGCATCATGTTTGGTCCTTAAAGGTAAAGGGACCCCTGACCATTAGGTCCAATTGTGGCCGACTCTGGGGTTGTGGCACTCATCTCGCTTTATTGGCTGAGGGAGCCGGCGTACAGCTTTGGGGTCATGTGGCCAGCATGACTAAGCCACTTCTGGCGAACCAGAGCAGCACACAGGAACGCCTTTCACCTTCCCACCAGAGTGGTACCTATTTATCTACTTGCACTCTGACGTGCTTTCGAACTGCTAGGTTGGCAGGAGCAGGTACCAAGCAACGGGAGCTCACCCCGTCGCGGGGATTCGAACCGCCGACCTTCTGATCGGCAAGCCCTAGGCTCTGTGGTTTAACCCACAGCGCCACCCGTGTCCCATGTTTGGTCCTTAGTTTGAGGTTTATAGCTTTGCTATTTTTCTTCCTACTGGAAGCATCTGTATTGATGGCAGGTAATCTAATGTATTTTGTGGTGAAGTTAAAGGGTAAGTTGTTTTTCTTTTCAAAAATTAAGTAGTAGATACTCTGTAACTCGTTATTTTGTAGACCACAATCAATTGTCTTATCTCTGTACAGCAAATAACGATTCAAAAAAATACTCCATCCAAATGTTCTCTCTAGGAGGTTATTTTTGTGGGAGACTGCAATTAGAACTGTGATAAACAATTTGAGAACTGAAAGGTTGAACACATTATCCTCATAGCATGTTTTGTTTTCAGGGTTGTTTCCACCCCCCCTTCTTTCTGAGGCCTAGAATAAGAATAGTTGGATGGGTTAAGTTCAAAACTCCACAAAAATGGGATTGACTCTGTGCCATACTTTCCCTGCAGTATCTAAAGCGCTGTGCCTGAGGTGGTTCAGGAAAAAGAAAAAGCTGCAGTGTTTTGTTTTGTTTTTACAAAGGTGACTCTAACAAATTTGCACTTTCCCAAAATACAGCCATCCTTCAAAATTTGCACTTATTTGAATTTTGTGATGGAGTTCTCCCAACAGGCCAATATTTTAAAAATGCATATACAGTCATACCTTGGTTTTTGAACAACTTAGTTCTCGAACATTTTGGCTCCCAAATGCAGCAAACCAGTGACTGTTCCAGTTTGCAAACTATTTTTGGAAGCCAAACGTCTGACGGGGCTTCCACAGCTTCCGATTGGCTGCAGCCAATCGGAAGCTGAGCTTTGGTTTCTGAACATTTTGGAAGTCGAACGGACTTCCAGAATGGATTCCGTTCAACTTCTAAGGTACAATTATTTTCCTAGTGAAAATAACATACAAAAAGGCAACATATTGGGAGAAATCAGTTGCAAAAAGTGTGCATTAATCAAAACTCCTTTAAAAATGTGTTTATTAAGAGAAATTCACACTAAAGTGCTGAATAATTTTCATGAGGATTTTGAAAACCAAAATCTGCAAATAGCTTCGAATTAAGAGAACTTATTTTAAGATTGGAAAAATAAGAAACAGAGAACTGAAATTTGTTGATTCTTTCATCTGTACAATAAGATTGTTTCTTTTTTAAAAAATACAGTGGATAAAATCAATTAAAATTAATCATAAACAATAAAGGTTACTTAAAATGCCTACTGAAATAAAACTATAGGTTAGGTTTACTGGCTAGAGATTTTAGCATATACTTTAATGATTTTGCCATATAGATTTTAGTAACCCATTAACATCCATCAAGTACTTTAATTTGCTTTTATTGCCTTGTTGCCATCATGGAAACATTCTGATTTATTCACTTCTAAGTTGGTGTTTCTCAGACTTTTTGAACTCAGGCTCTCCTCTTTCTAAGAGGGAGAATGGGCAGCTGTATCTGCAGCAATGAAGAGGTGAACAAGCAGAGCACCTTGGTCCTTGCTTCTTCTCTCACAAAAAAGTCCCTGCACTACCTCCCAGTAAGGATGGGGAGAAAATAAGTTTGCACTTACAAGGAAACTTACCTAAATTGCACTCTGCAACACAATGCATGAACTGAAACACAGCCATCCTTCAAAATTCACACTTTTCCCCAAAATTTTGGGTTTCCAATTTTGCAGCCAAGTAGTATACAAAAATGCATATGCTAGAATATAGTGTGCATAATTGTGTTTATTAGTGAAATGGAATGCATAGATGCATTATATTGGGGGGAAATTGCCTTGCCAAATATGCATACAGTCATACCTTGGTTGTCAAACGCCTTGTGACTCAAACGTTTTGGCTCCCGAACACCGCAAACCTGGAAGTGAGTGTTCTGGTTTTCAAACCTTCTTTGGAACCCGAACGTCCGACGTGGCTTCCGTGGCTTCCAATTGAGCGCAGGAGTTGGAAGCCGCGCCTTGGTTTTCAAGCATTTTTGGAAGTCAAATGGACTTCCAGAACAGATTCTGTTTGAGAACCAAGGTATTAGGCAAAATTGCACTAAAATGTGTATATTAGAAGAAATATACGCTGAAAATTCTGATTCTTTTTCATGATTATATATATATATCGAGAGAGAGAGAGAGAGAGAGAGATTGCAAACTGATGTGGAAATTTGGAGAACTGAACTTAAGATAACTGAACTGAGAAACTGAAATTGACAGATTCACCTATCCCTAAGTCCCAGGTAGTGATGCCATCTTCTAGCATACTATAAGCTGCAGGGGCCTCAAACAGGGTATTCTGCTCCCCTCTACTTCCAATTTTCTAAAAAGAAATTCTAGTTAGCACTCAACATTCTGTGGCTGTTAAGTAAGCTCATACTTCTCTGGACTCTTTCTTTCTTTCTTTCTTTGTTTTGCCTTCATAGGTTTGCTATTTTTTTAAAATAGGGTAGGGCTTTTTGTACTTTTCTGAAACTGAGTTCCCCCAACATGCTGATGCATCCTTCTTGTTCCTTAGTGATCCCATTTCCCCTTCATTTCTATTCACACTCACCACCTGAGATCACTGTTGGATGAAATACAATGAATGCCCACAAACTCTTCATTACCAATGAGTAGTGTGGTTTTCCTTCTTTAAAATCTACTACAAAATCAATTTGATAGCAGTAATTTAAACCTTGCTTTTGAAGAAGAAGAAGAAGAAGAAGAAGAAGAAGAAGAAGAAGAAGAAGAAGAAGAAGTTTAGCACATAGGAATGTAAGACTACAGACCCGTGACCCAGGAGTCCCACCTAGTGTACCATGCAGTGGCAGGACGGCTGGTGGAACAGCAGGTGGCTGGAAACATGTGACACCTGTGTTGAAATAGCTACATTGGCTGCCCATATGCTACTGGGACGGGACGTGGGTGGCGCTGTGGTCTAAACCACAGAGCCTAGGGCTTGCCGATCAGAAGGTTGGTGGTTCGAATCCCCGCGACAGGGTGAGCTCCCACTGTTCGGTCCCAGCTCCTGCCCACCTAGCAGTTCGAAAGCATGTCAAAGTGCAAGTAAATAAATGGGTACTGCTCCAGCGGGAAGGTAAACGGCGTTTCCGTGTGCTGCTCTGGTTCTCCAGAAGCGGCTTAGACATGCTGGCAACATGACCCGGAAGCTGTCTGCGGACAAACGCCAGCTCCCTCGGCCAGTAAAGCGAGATGAGCGCCACAACTCCAGAGTCATCTGCGACTGGACTTAACAGTCAGGGGTCCCTTTACCTTTATGCTACTGGGACAGGTTCAAGGCTCTTGTATGCAAAGCTTTGAACAACTTTGGTGCATGCTATGTCAGAATGAGTCAGCATGAGTTTGACCAAACTGCGGGAG